GTCACCACATGAAAAGGAATCATCATTTCACCCTTAGAGCTAAAGAGATCAGACGTTTGGCGCGAGAGAGAGGAGCGCTGGCCTTCAGAGAGTTCCACAAATATTGGTCCTCTTTAGGAGACGGTCTTCGGGCATCCTGATTACATGACTATGCCATCTGAGCTATTGATTGATTATAAGAGCCTCAATGTTTTTGTTGCTGGTACGCTGTAGAATATTGGCATGCGGTATTCGACCTCACCATGAGTATCCAGGGATTCGTTTTTTTTTTTGTTTTTTTTATACCGTGTGTAACAGCAAAAGTGTCCAAATCAGATAGCAGTATGGAATAATTGTCCATCCCACAAAATATTTAATATCGAAAAAAACAATAAATTGATTGAATTTTTCCGGGTTTTCAGATAATACATTTAGCCATCTTGGCACTTTTTTTCGTAAGAATCATTGAAAAACTCTTTACTCAGCTCAAAAAGCGAAATTGATTTTTTTCAGATCCACTGTTTTCCCAATTGAGCAATGCTGAGAGGGAAAAGATCATTCAGGCCTTCAGTAATGCTACCAACATTCACACACTGACTTCCATCTTCAAAGTTCATTCAAGAACCATCAAGAAAATGGTGAATAATTTTAATAAGGAAGGAACACTAGAGAGGAGAACTGGATCAGGAGGTCACAACAGGAAGAAGGATCATCATTTCAACTTAGAGCTAAAGAGATCAATTAGAAAAGATCTAACTCAGATATCCTTAAGACGTTTGCCACTTGAGAGAGGAGCGCTGGCTTTCCGAGAGTTCCGCAAATATTGGTCCTCTTTGGTAGACGGTCTTCGGGCATCCTGATATCATGACTAATGCAGCTGAGCTATTGCTTGATTATAAGAGCCTCAATGTTTCTGTTGCGGGTACGCTGGAGAATAATGACATGCGGTATTTCGACCATGAGTATCCGGCAATGCGTTAAAGACTGCCTGTGTGAAAGGTTTCAAGAGCTTGTTTGTGAGTCAAGTATTCAGAACATAGAGATGTATGGACAAGAAGACACTAGTTCTTTCTGGAGGTGGACAAGTTCCTTTTCAGAATAACATGACCAAAAAGTTATCCAAAAGCTTCTCATGCTTGATGAATTCGATTTTGTAATTCATCATCAATCTTGTAATTGGTGGACAGTACTCTTTCTATAATTGTGACGTTGATATGTTCAGCACCGACTGAATTTGAAGCATTAGTGTTATGGTGCACCGGTCCCGATGGCAAAGAACTTCAGTTCTTCGAAAATTAACTATAAGGCAAGTTCTACGTTACTGCCAAATCAAAGTAATTCTCAGTATGCTTCTGTAGAACAATATATCTGCTGTTTCAAATCTGTTCTTCATCTGTGAGGAGATTGTTCAGCCTTCACTGCCATATGCAAGTCGTGACATTACGTTTTCATCTAGCACTCTTTTCTTTGTTTCTAATAATATTTTCCTATCTCTTAATACTTTGCTTAGTTTATAAAAGGCATGAAGAGATTGTCCATCATTCATTGCCATATAGGAGGATTGATATTACATAGCAGTCGGGCACTCTTTTCTTTGTTTGTATTCATTTCAATATAGAAGGATCGATATTACATAGCAGTCGGACAATTCTTTCTTTATTTCTAACAATATTTTCCTATCTCTTAATACTTTGCTTAGTTTACGAAAGGCATGAAAAGATTGTCTAACATTCATTGCCATATAAGAGGATTGATGTTACATAGCAGTCCGACACTCTTTTCTTTGTGACAATATTTTCCTATCTCTTAATACTTTGCTTAGTTTGTGAAAGGCATGAAGGGATTGTCTATCATTCATTGCCATATAGGAGGATTGATATTACATAGCAGTCCGACACTCTTTTCTTTGTTTTTAACAATATTTTCCTATCTCTTAATACTTTGCTTAGTTTATGAAATGCATGAAGAGATTGTCCATCATTCATTGACATATTGAAGGATTGATATTACATAGCAGTCCGACACTCTTTTCTTTGTTTCTAACAATATATTCCTATCTCTTAATACTTTGCTTAGTTTACTAAAGGCATGAAGAGATTGTCCATCATTCATTGCCATATACGAGGATTGATATTACATAGCAGTTCAGCAGCCTTTTCTTTGTTTACAGTGAATTTTTCCTATTATTATTATTATTATTATTATTATTATTATTATTAATATGATTATTATTATTATTATAGATGTTAATACAATGGCAATGTCATATTTAATGTTATAAATGATGATTCCTACGTTGTTACATTTATTTTATTATTTCGTATATTATGTTAGGCTTTCAACGCCAAGAAGGTTCTTATTTTCTTTTTCTTAAAATTAAAATTCACAGGAAATAACCTTTCCACCACCTTCTTCGTGCTTCTTTTTTATAAATTACGATAGTGAACTTTTGAAATGACACGAAACAAATGTTTGATCCTCTTGTGATCTGAAGCAGGCCTTTTGTATTGACACTGAAACACGTTTTTTTTTAAATTATTCAAATTATTTTTTTTTTAATTATTCAAATTTTGAAGAATTTTAAAAAAAGTATTTGCGATTTCAGGTATCATTATCGTCTCATATTTCTATGGTTCTTTCTTTTTCTTTTTATGTGTCGTGTCTTTTCAGGACGGTAGGTGATCATGACTCTCCACCTCCTTCTATCCCTTGCAGCTCTCAATAAGGTCCTTCTTCCTGCTTCCTCCCCCAAAACACGTTCTGTCATCCACTTACTTAAGCCCGTCACGTACGTCACGCGTTGTTTTCCATTGTCTCTTTTCCCCTCTATTCGACCCATGAGTATCAGATTCTCCAGGCCCTCTTTTCTCATTATGTGTCCCAGAATCTTCAGCTATCTCTTTCTGATATTAAGTAAAAGCCTTCTCCTTGTTTGCAACCTCTTTAAGACCTCATCGTTGCTTACACCCTCGGTAGAAAATAATTTAGGGCCCTTTGATGAGCATTACGGTAAAGGAAGATCAGTTACGAGCAACTAGTGAGTTTGACACTCGTTGGGTGCCCAGTACTTTCGGCCTTGTGCCACATCTAAGCTAAGCTTTCTTTTTATGTGCTATGTCCTTTCAAGATGTAGGCGATTATGGCTATCCAGCCACCTCTATCCCTTGCAGCTCTGACCAGGTTCCTTTTCTCTGACCACGTTCTCTCATCCATTTGCTGAAGCCCGCGAGGCATGCCACAAGTTGTTTTCTCTTGTTTCTCTTTCCCTCTATTCGACCCGTGAGTATCAGATTCTCCAGGCCCTCTTTCCTCATTATCTGTCGCAGAAACTTCAGCTCTTCTTGATGTTAAGTATATGGGAAATGACAGGGGATATAGCAGGAAGATTCGGATTAGGAATCCGCAACGAACGCGGAGAAAAATGGATCAAATGGTGCACAGCCAATGATCAGGTAATAGCCAATTCATGGTTCCAAGATCATCCGAGACAGCAATGGACATGGAGGAGTCCAGGAGGAGAAACTAAAAACCAAATTGATTATATAACCATCAACAAAAGATTTACTGCAAAACCTACCCAAGAGCCGACTTCAGAAGTGGTCATCGCCCTCTTATATGTAAACTAAGAGGGAAATTGCGGAAATTGAAGAAGCCTAACGCAGCACCCAAACTGCAATACAAAAAAAAAAAAAACTCCTGAGCGATCCTAACCTAAAAGAATAATATATGGACAATGTGAAGAGAAAATACGAGGCACAATGGAAACTCAAAACGGGACGCACTAAGAGACACTTCAGTAACATCTATGGTGTTACCATTCCAGAATAGACATTTCATTCAAATTTCACCCCAGATCGTCAAAATACGCTAACAGCAGAGCCGATTTGAGAGATATCCCCCCCCCAAAAAAAAGAGCGGATATCCGAGATTTACTTGTTGTCAGTATTGACTCTAGAACTGACAAACGTGAATTGAGTTTATATGTTTAAAAGCAACTTTACTGTAGATGGTGCTGCGTTTCCATATCGACAGGATATATTTGCCATCACTTGAACATGAAGAATTTGCGATCATATATATTGATATGGACTTTTTCCCTTCTCTTGATGCGTATTTCAATAAAGCATGAAACGAAATCGAGTATTTAAAAACCATCTTTTCAAAAATGCTATGAACCCTCTCTTCGGAACCAATACATAAGCCAATAATCTGGCATGGAATTTTCGAATGTGAGATTTCAGTGAAAAGATCTTATGTTTTATCTCATTTTTTTACGCCAGAGGTAAGAGATGCAAGGAGCACAAAATCGAAACCACTGAGCACCAACCAGACACAGTTATCCCAAATAACGATGTAACTATCCTCTGGGACATTCCAGTTCAAACTGACAGGGAAATAAAAGCCAAAAGACCTGATATTATCATAAAAGACAAGAAATCCAGGATGTATAAGCTTATTAACGTTGAAGTCCCATCTAAGAGAAACATCTTCATAAATATTACCGGTAAATTGCCCAAGTAAAAGGACCTGGAGATCGGGATTAACAAGATGTGGCGAATGAAGACTGAGACTGTACCAATAGTAATCGGAGCACTGGGTCTCGCGGGAAAAGGAATAGCAATTTTATTAACAGTGTTCCAGGTAACATCAACATACAGGTAGTCCAGGAGAGGGCCATACTCGGAACATCCCATATACTAAGAAAAGTGCTATCAATTCAAGGACAATTCTATTATGGAGCCTAAGTACCATATTTTGGACCTTTCGCTATGAGATACAATGCAGGAAATATAGTATACACAAATGATGATAAAAATGATCTAAATTGTGTCTAGATATGCGAGAGATTGTCACAGATTTGAACTTTTAATGATTATCATCATATTAATGATCCGACCCTGAAAAAGCCTCTCTTCAGGCCAAAGATCTCAAGGCCTTTCCACTTGATTGCAATTAACACGGCTCTAATGGCAACGTGTATATTTATGCCTATATCGAAAAGAGTGTTCTTTGACATTGTGCTAGGTAAGAAAGAAAGAAAAAAAAGAAAGATATGAACATAAGACAGAAAGAAAGAGAGAAAGAGAGAGAGAGAGAGAGAGACAGATAGAAAGATTAACAAAAGAATGACAGAAAGAAAGAATGGCTGAAAGAAAGAAAGAATGACAGAAAGAAAGAAATAATGGCTGAATGAAAGAAAGAAAGAATGAAAGAATAACAGAAAGAAAGAAAGAAAGAAAGAATGGCTGAAAGAAAGACAGAAAGAATGAAAGAATGACAGAAAGAAAGAAATAAAGAATGACAGAAAGAAAGAAAGAATGGCTGAAAGAAAAAGAATGGCTGAAAGAAAAACAGAATGAAAGAAAGAATGAAAGAATGACAGAAAGAAAGAAAGAAAGAATGGCTGAAAGAAAGAAAGAAAGAATGGCTGAAAGAAAGAAAGAATGAAAGAATGGCAGAAAGAAAGAAAGAAAGAATGGCTGAAAGAAAGAAAGAATGAAAAAATGGCAGAAAGAAAGAAAGAATGGCTGAAAGAAAGAAAGAATGAAAGAATGGCTGAAAGAAAGAAAGAAAGAATGGCTGAAAGAAAGAAAGAAAGAAAGAATGGCAGAAAGAAAGAAAGAATGAAAGAATGGCAGAAAGAAAGAAAGAAAGAATGGCTGAAAGAAAGAAAGAATGAAAGAATGGCTGAAAGAAAGAAAGAATGAAAGAATGGCAGAAAGAAAGAAAGAAAGAATGGCTGAAAGAAAGAAAGAATGAAAGAATGGCAGAAAGAAAGAATGGCTGAAAGAAAGAAAGAATGAAAGAATGGCAGAAAGAAAGAAAGAAAGAATGGCTGAAAGAAAGAAAGAATGAAAGAATGGCAGAAAGAAAGAATGGCTGAAAGAAAGAAAGAATGAAAGAATGGCAGAAAGAAAGAAAGAAAGAATGGCTGAAAGAAAGAAAGAATGAAAGAATGGCTGAAAGAAAGAAAGAAAGAATGGTTGAAAGAAAGAAAGAATGAAAGAATGGCTGAAAGAAAGACAGAAAGAAAGAATGGCTGAAAGAAAGAAAGAATGAAAGAATGGCAGAAAGAAAGAAAGAAAGAATGGCTGAAAGAAAGAAAGAATGGCTGAAAGAAAGACAGAATGAAAGAATGGCAGAAAGAAAGAAAGAAAGAATGGCTGAAAGAAAGAAAGAATGGCTGAAAGAAAGACAGAATGAAAGAAAGAATGAAAGAATGACAGAAAGAAATAAAGAATGGCTGAAAGAAAGAAAGAATGGCTGAAAGAAAGACAGAATGAAAGAAAGAAAGAAAGAATGGCTGAAAGAAAGAAAGAATGGCTGAATGAAAGAAAGAATGAAAGAAAGAATGAAAGAATGACAGAAAGAAAGAAAGAATGAATGAATGACATTAAGGAAGAAAGAACGAATGACAGAACAAATATAAATAAAGAAAGAAGAACGAGTTTTGTATGTATAGTAGAGTGCCCGAGGACACATGGCACAGTGGATCCACTGACAGGGCACAAAGAGTGTGAGTTCAATACCTGGTTAAGGCGGCGGAGAACCTTGACAGGGGAATTAACAGGAGATAACTGACATCGATTAGAACAAGAACAGTTTACCCCCAGCAAGCGAAATAACGGGTTCAGTTCGACATTCCAACCACCTGAAGAAGGCCAGAGCATACAACGGTTGAAACGTTGTCATAAACATGGCGAAAAAGATGAGGACAATAGTCCGAATAATGTAAATAGTGTACATAATACCTCATCTCAGAAATATAGACAGATACTGAAGGGCTGAAACGTTGTAATAAATATGGCGACAAAGATGAGGAAAATAGTCCGAATAATGTAAATAGAGTACATACCTGATCTCAGAAATATAGACAGGTCCGTTTGCTAATTAAACTAAGAGTAGACATTAAAAACACATTCTATTGTAGATAGGCGGAAATGACTTAAGGACACATGGCACAGTGGATAAACGTTGTGATGAATATGGCGAAAAAGATGAGGACAATAGTCCGAATAATGTAAACAGTGTACATAAAACCTCATCTCAGAAATATCGGCAGATACTGAAAGGCCGAAACGTTGTGATAAATATAGCGACAAAGATGAGGACAATAGTTCTAATAATGTAAATAGTGTACATAATACCTAATCTCAGAAATATAGACAGATACTGAAAGGCCGAAACGTTGTAATAAATATGGCGACAAAGATGAGGACAATAGTCCTAATAATGTAAATAGTGTACATAATACCTCATCTCAGAAATATAGACAGATACTGAAGGGCTGAAACGTTGTAATAAATATGGCGACAAAGATGAGGAAAATAGTCCGAATAATGTAAATAGAGTACATACCTGATCTCAGAAATATAGACAGGTCCGTGTGCTAATTAAACTAAGAGTAGACATTAAAAACCCATTCTATTGTAGATAGGCGGAAATGACTTAAGGACACATGGCACAGTGGATAAACGTTGTGATAAATATGGCGAAAAAGATGAGGACAATAGTCCGAATAATGTAAATAGTGTACATAAAACCTCATCTCAGAAATATAGGCAGATACTGAAAGGCCGAAACGTTGTGATAAATATGGCGACAAAGATGAGGACAATAGTCCGAATAATGTAAATAGTGTACATAATACCTCATCTCAGAAATATAGACAGGTCCGTGTGCTAATTAAACTAAGAGGAGACATTAAAAACCCATTCTATTGTAGATAGGCGTGAGGTTGTGTGGTCTGTCCACCTTCCCAGACGAGACTCCGCCCGCAGGTAGAGCCTGATTCGACCTCCTCTCTAACTGAAGGCGATGAGAGTCGACAAGCACAGTTAACTGTGGTAGTTAACTTATTGGTGCCTACCCGAGACCTCCACACAAGATGGGTTGTGGCAGAAGGCCGGTAGGTTTTCCGAGCGGGTATGCTCGGGCAAAAATTCCCTTTTGCCCCAGCATAGAGGGCTTCGGGCAGATGTCCACCGTCCCAGACGAGTCCCTGCACGTAGTTAGAGCCTCATCCGAGCTCCTCTCTGTCTAAAGGTGGAGAGTCGACAAGCAGAGCTAACTGTAATCGTTAACTTCTCGGTGTTTACCCGAGACCTGTCTATCTCCCCAGACGATATTCTGTCCGTAGGCATAGCCTCGTTTGAGTTCCTCTCAGCCCGAAGGCAGAGAGGTCGACTAGCAGAATCGCTAACTGTTCGGTATTTACCCGAGACAAGGCGGGATGTGGCACAAGGCCATTTTTTTCATGTGGGAGTTCCGAACCCTTAGGCTCAGGCATAAAATTACCCGTAGACCGTATACACAGGGTTGGGTTGATGTCTACCTCCCCAAACGAGACTCTGCCCTTCGACATAGCCTCCTTCTGGGTTCCTCGACGCCCGGGGGAAGAGAGTCGACAAGCACAGTTAACTATAATCCCTCAGTAAGAGAGAGAGAGAGAGAGAGAGAGAGAGAGAGAGAGAGAGATATGTTTAATATTCTTAGTCTAGTCCATCTTGTGGGGGTGTTCAGCTACTCCACAACAGGTGTCATAAAGGAAATTCTCATCAGAACAATGAGCAGTATTTATACAAAATTTGCAGGGAAACGACGTTACGACCGTGGAAAAGATACTGAAGCGGAAATTGCTGATTCTTCTTAGGATTTTATCAAGAATCTCTAAATATATATCAGGAGTACCAGATCAGATGTGACAGTAATATTCAAAGCAAGAACAAATGGTAGACTTACATATATGTGAGATAAATTCTGGTGATATAATAAACCAACCTTCCTATCAGCAGACCTAACAATTGATGCAATATAATCTTTCTACTTCATGTCAGGGAATAAAGTTAAATCTTAATAGAGATATTTTTCTCATATTCCCTAACACTCAGTAACCCTTTGCATCTTATTGGCTTAATTGCTTTCCTTGGGTTGAGATGAATTTTAAAAAGATATCGATTGAAACCTTCATGTCCGAATTTTAACTTTTTGTTAAAATGAACGAAACTTAAAGAGTATTTTATAATGTCTAATGGAGCTGAACATTATTTTTATGTTTATATGCATTTAAACTGATCAAATTCTATTTCAGAGAACAATAAAATTAAATTTTGTTTGATTAAAACCCTGCTAACATGGAAGTACCCAAGAATCATTTGAGGCACATAATGCTTTATGAGTTCAAGAAAGGAAACTCAGCAGCCGAAGCGGCTAGAAACATTCACTCAGTTTATGGAGAGGAATATGTGAACTTGCAGAAGATGGTTTGCAAAATTCAGAGGTGGCGATTTCACCCTTGAAGATGAAGATTGAACCGGACGTCCAGTTGAGTTTGATGAAAAGCTTCTTGAAGCAGCCCTTGAAGAAAATCCTGCTTTATCAGTTGAGGAATTGGCAGTGGTTCTCAGTTCAAACCATACAACTGTTTATCGTCATCTACAACAAAATGGGTGCCCCATGAATTGTCTGAAAACAACCTCAAATCCCGAGTTGACATCTGCTCTTCTCTCCATTCTCGCCAACTTGTTTCACCTTTTTTGGTTAGACTTGTGACTGGCGACGAAAAATGGATCCTTTATCGAAATGTTAAGCGTCGTAGACAGTGGCTTGGTAAAGGGGAAGGACCCCAGCCACAGCCGAGAATGGTGGGATCGCCAAGGAATAATCCACTTTGAATTCTTACCACCTAATGCAACAATTAGTGCTCAAATATACTGTCAGCAATTAGAGCGTTTGAACCAAGATTTGATGAAAAAAAGACCTGCTCTAGTGAATCGAAACGGGATGATGTTTCATCAGGACAATGCGCGACCCCACACAGCAAGAATCACGTCACAAAAGATCGAAGAACTTGGTTGGAAGAAAATTCTTCCTCCACCTTATTCTCCCGATCTTGCTTCTTCAGACTACCATTTTTTTCGTAGCTTACAGAATCATTTGGAAGAAACAGCTTTTGTAACACAGGAAGAGGTTAAAACTGACATTTGTGAGTTCTTCGAATCAATGCCAAAAGAATTTTACATTAATGGAATTAGTAAGCTTGTTAATAGATGGAAGGAAGTCATAGATAATCAGGGAAAATACATTGCTGATTGAATCTGTAATTAAATGTAACATTTGGTCACTTGTTTTCTTTATTCAAAATTCGGACAGAACTTATGGGATGACCTGACAGTAAGCTTGTTAATAGATGGAAGGAGGTCATAGATAATCATGGAAAATACATTGTTGATTGAATCTGTAATTAAATGTAACATTTGGTCACTTGTTTTCTTTATTCAAAATTCGGACAGAACTTATGGGATGACCTGATAGTAAGCTTGTTAATAGATGGAAGGAAGTCATAGATAATCAGGGAAAATACATTGTTGATTGAATCTGTAATTAAATGTAACATTTGGTCACTTGTTTTCTTTATTCAAAATTCGGACAGAACTTATGGGATGACCTGACAGTAAGCTTGTTAATAGATGGAAGGAAGTCATAGATAATCAGGGAAAATACATTGCTGATTGAATCTGTAATTAAATGTAACATTTGGTCACTTGTTTTCTTTATTCAAAATTCGGACAGAACTTATGGGATGACCTGATAGTAAGCTTGTTAATAGATGGAAGGAAGTCATAGATAATCAGGGAAAATACATTGTTGATTGAATCTGTAATTAAATGTAACATTTGGTCACTTGTTTTCTTTATTCAAAATTCGGACAGAACTTATGGGATGACCTGACAGTAAGCTTGTTAATAGATGGAAGGAAGTCATAGATAATCATGGAAAATACATTGATGATTGAATCTGTAATTAAATGTAACATTTGGTCACTTGTTTTCTTTATTCAAAATTCGGACAGAACTTATGGGATGACCTGACAGTAAGCTTGTTAATAGATGGAAGGAAGTCATAGATAATCATGGAAAATACATTGATGATTGAATCTGTAATTCAATGTAACATTTGGTCACTTGTTTTCTTTATTCAAAATTCGGACAGAACTTATGGGATGACCTGATATTTAAGGCTATGAGCCAAGACATCTAGTAGAGTGCTGAAAGGGTGTTAGCTACTCTACAACATTATGTTATCTTGTTTGAGGAAGAATGAGTGAAAGGAGTGGCTAGTTAATATGCCACACCCATGTGAAGATTGGTGAAATGGACTATAACGAAGAAATCAAATCTTTTTTTTTTTTTTTTTTGAGTGATACATGCAACTCGTGGAAGGGTTAGCTGTGCACGGTGAAGCAAGAAATGGAAAGCCAAAGACACCAAAAGCAAGCCTTGAGTGGTATATGTGTTTCATGGAAGGGTGAAGTGTACACAATGATGCAAGAACAGGTGCCCATGTGGACAGAACGTGAAACTTAGTGCATTCACATCGTCAGTTAAATGCGTGT